TTATTATACTTTTTATCTCTATTATATAATATATTAAGAGTTTTAGATATATGCTAGGGCTTGCTCTTATATTTCTATATAAGCCTTTAGTTTTACTACTTAAGATCCTTTATATTTCTTTATAACTTAGTATTTAATTATATTAATAATTATATATAATTTCTATTTTTAATACTTATTAATCTATACTAAGAAGCAGTTATTTATTACTTTATCTTACTAATATTATAGGCAGTAGTATTATATATATAATATCTATAATATCTGCTTATAGTTTAGATAGTTTAAGTATCTTCTTAGATCTCTTTTAATTTAGATGTATTCTTCTAGTATTATAAGGTCTTTTAGTGCATCTTTTATATATACTTAGATATAGATATTATTATCTTATTCTATAATTATATATTTTCTTATAAGTTTTATATATTTCTAATATTTATTATCCTAGAAATAAATCCTATATTTATTATACTAGGGTACTATTTCTATATTCTAGACTATTTAATTTTCCTTATATCTAATACATCTAGTATTAACTTCTCTCTAAATTTAGCAGGAGTTTAAATAGTTTAGGTTATTAATATATTAGTTTAGTTATTTTAGGGTAATTCTAATAGGAATCTTATCTACTGCTAAGTAGGGCTTTTAGTTATTTCTTATAGTACTAAGTTTATTATCTGGGTTAAGGTTAACTTCTTTTCCCTTTTTAACTATAAAGATAGATTTTCCTCTAGTAAGGTATTATATTTCTAGTTTAGGTACTAATACCTATTTAAGTTTAACTTTTATATCTTATTTTACTTTTAGTCTTTATTATTTTTATTATTTACTTTCTTTCTTTTTAAACTTAGGGTTTTTTTATCTTTTTATATTATATACTCTTTTTTTTACCTACTTTTTACTTTGGCTTTGCTTATAAATATCTGCTATAAGAGCTATATATCCTAGGGTAGGTTATTATTCTAGGTCTAAATATAGGTAATATTTCTTAAGGGTTTCTTCCTTATTAAGAAATAGATCTTAGATATTAAGAGATAGATTAAAGTTCCTAATATGTTTTATTAGTTTAGTTATATTATATCTATTCCTATAGGTTATATTAATAGTTCTGATTACTATTTAGGGTTCTTTATCTTTCTTAATTATACTGATTTTCTTATTTTTAGGAACTAGCTTATACTTCTGGTTAGTTTTAATAGGGTTCTTATATTCTAGATTATAATATCCTTTCTTACTATAGTTCTAGTAAGTAATTTTAGATTTATCTTTTTTAGTTATTCTAATAGTTATTAGTCCTGTATTAGTACTATAGGATATATTATTATTTTATTTCTTTCCTTAATTAGTATTATAGTATGGTTTATTTCCCTGGCATCTTTAATTATTTTAGTTATAGCAGATTCTCTATTAGAATTATATATTATTAACTTTAATAGCTCTATTAATATAGTTAACTAGTATCTTTAGTTTAGCTTTTTTATAGAGTTCTACTTAAACTATTTCTTTAAGTCTATTAAAAAAGAGTAATATAAGGGGTTCTTAGTCCTATCCTAGCTTAATAGCTAGTTAGAGAAATTTAGCTCCCTACTTTAATATAGATTTAGTTTATTAGAGTACTTTAATCTTTCTTTCTGCTTGGCTTTTCTTATTAATTAACCTAAATGCTTATTATATAGCTTTCTTAAATTTAATATAGTTATTATAGATTTAAAAGGTTCTAGGTAGCAGTTTATCCTTTGGCATAGTAGTAATTGCTTCTAATATAGGTTAAAACTATTAAGCGGCATTGCCTTTAAGATATCTTAATATATATATAACTCTGTTATTATTATTAGTAAATTAGTTTAGAAAGTAACTTATATAGGCTTAGTATTAAGTAAGAAAGGTAGTTAATCTGGCAGGATTTCTATTAAATAGTTTAGGTATATTAGGTTTAAGAATTTCTCCTAATTCTTTCCTATTTACTATAGTAGCAGTAAGCTAATATATTTCTTAAATTATATTCTAGTAGTTAGTGGCCTGCTATGCCTAGAGCATAGCGGCTTTAACTAAGGCTTATCTAAGGTTATTTATTTTAATTATTATATTAGTTATCTGCTAATAAAGCTAGGTAATATTAGAGTTAGTGCTACTCTTAGAGTTATTATTTATATTCTGGTTATTATTAATAGGTGCTAGAGCAGTATAAGGTATAATATGTTATTAGATAGGGTTAATATAGGCAGCTATTACATTTATATTACTTAGTGTTATATGGTATAGTCTAAATAAGAGCTATTAATATATAATAGTTGGCGTTTAACTGTGTTAAACTAAGCCGTGCTAGGTTTATTATTAGCAGATTATATAGGGCATATAACTAAGCTTATTAAAGTATTATATCTCTTAATAGTAGATTTAATATATATTAGGCTTAATTAATATAAAGAAGTTTTATTAATAGCTAGTAAGCTAGAATTTATAAAAGTGCTAATAAATATAGTTTATATACTAAATATAGTTCTATAGGAGTAATGCGATATAAGGTTATTATTAGTCTTAGAATAATATAGTCCTAGAATACTATTAGTCCTATAAGTATTAGTCCTTTCTTAATTAGTAGGTTAAGTAGAGAAAATTATAGGGTATATGTGATATAACCGCTGGGATTATAATATAATAGTTCTTTAGATTAAACCTATTTAATAGGCAGCTCTTAACCCTAGGTTCTTTTTATAGAGGTTATTAAAGGAAGTTAAGTATTTTAAAGAGAAGCACTACTATCTTAGTAATATTATTTTAGGTAATTTAAGAAGCAGAGGAATAAAAAAGAGGTTATAGTTAATTATATAGAGGGAGTTTTATTAAAAAGTACTTAGTTAGGGTATTATTATATTTATAATAATACTTACTTATATTATATATAAGATTAGTTTATTATTTTTCCTTATTATTCTAGGATATTATAATCCTTCTTAATAAAATAAGTAAAAGAATATTTTAATAATTTCTTAAGTTATTACTAAAGTAATAAGATAATTAATTATAGCCCTTAAGAATATAAGATATGTAAATCAGGCTCCCCCCAGGCTTGGGTCCTTGGGGGTCTTAGTGGAATTCGCGCGGGCAGTTAATAGAGGTATTTTATTCTTTGTTGGCTAAAAAAAAACGGGAAAAGAAAGCATCTATCTCGGTGTTGAGATGAAAGTATGATCTGAGCTTAGAGGCTGCTTATGAAATATCGTTATACCCTGATTGCTTGGTCTAGAGCCTAAACCAATGAAAGGAGGGCTTGGACCGGATGGTATCCTGGTAGGCTCTATAATGATGTCTTAAATAAGGTAAGTTTCGTTCTGCCTATAGAACTGACCGAGCCAGTAGCCAAGCAAGCACTGTCAAGACATCATTGTATTGTGCACAACCTAGACGTATCACTCAACATAGCATGAATTCAAGATGCAATAAATATGATTTTGAGGGGCCACTTAGTTCATGAAGAGATTATCATGTATCCTTCGTCACCGAGTTTACTTGTCCACCGTGATCGCTTGCCGCGATTGTTCTTTGTTCCTACCCTAGATCGCTGTATTTTACCTGGCGGCCCTGACCTGATGTAATAAGTGCCGGGTTGACCACTTATTTGCTTTTTCCCCTTCCCAAGAGCTTGCAAACTCTCAACAGGCGATTCTATCCGTCCCTCTAAAACCAAGAATCGCTTCTCAACCCTATCAGCCCATCTAATTATATATTAAGTCTCAAAATTAAGCTCGCCCCTTTACCAGGTATGTTAAAGAATATGCGTTGGCGCGATGCATGGAGGGGGATTAAAAGGGAAGATGACTAAAATACCGCTGGAAGTAGAGGGAGAGAGAGAAAGTCTTGACGAACCTACCAATTCGGGAGCATGCAATTTGTTCTACCTTATTTTCTCGAGATCCTTCGCGTCCTAAGATTATGCCGCCTTTATCGGTTTTGGTCAAGTCTAGGAAGCAGAAAGAACAGGACCATGGTAGAAAACGGCGCTAACAGTTGCATCGGCAACAACTCCGAGAAGTTAACAGCTATAAAACCATCCGGCTATTAAGCCAGGTCTATAACATAGAGAATAATATTACCAGTTATAAGTTAGACTTACTAATCCAAGATATCTCTTCCTACTCTTAAACTTATAGTCCTGCATTTTATTAGATCGCCTATATAAGCACTCCTATTAAGTCTATCCTATCACCTCGTCGACCAGTATTTAGCACCTCCTACTAGAGACCTCTATTTTTTAAGATTCCTCTATCAATGACTATACTCCTCTATGATTTTATCCCCCTATAGCTATATTATTAGGCCCTCTAGTAATACATTCTCCGAGAGATATAAGATAAACGAGTAATGGGTTTAAAGCCGGTACTGATTTAATAAGTGCAGGAGAACCGATAATATAAGGGTTATCCGAGACTACAGCTACCGCTGTATATAGTCTTTCAGATACAGCCGAAGAAGTGCAAGTAACAGCAGGTTGCCCACGAAGAGACCTAGCCTTATTAGAATATAAACTTATATAACTCTGCGTCTAAGCCTATCGAGCCTGTTAGCATCTGTTAAGGATTCTATAGACTGCCTAACCCTAGGATAATGCCTTTTTTTAAACTAGATTATTTTAAAAAACCAGTATTCTGCTTAGGGTAATCCCTGTTCTCTACAGAATGATCTGACTTTGCCTATTCATTTCTATCAAGGTAATAATACATAATAGGCAGCAAGTGACTAGAGATAAATTAATTTAAGCTCTCTGGCCTCTTTAAGACCTCGGCCTTAGACTTTCCTCTTGCTCTGCTTAATATTAATAGTTACTATCCTATAGCAGATAATTATTACTGTTTGCTTTTACCTAACCGCTTAATAAGAGGGAACCTAGCATTCCTAGCCGCTAACTAAATACAGGTAGATCTTTTATACCTTAATAGCTTTATTAAGGCTCTTTAGGCTCAGAAGATATAAAGCAGCCTTAACTTTCTTAAGTCGCAAACCCGAATATCGAGATCAAATTCAGTGATATTGCCCATTTTAGGAGCGAGAGGTTCCTCCAAGGCTTTAAGGTCGCGTATGTTGAGATGAGACAGTGAGATCATGGGAGTAAAATCATAGTCGTCAATCGAAACGTTGGCAGGGACCAGGAAGCCTTGTCCAAAGTCGAATGGCTCTTCAGCGTCGATGCCACGTGGGCTTGTTGCTGGCATCGCCAGTACAGGGGCCAGGGAGATGATAATGATCTTAAAAGAATGCATAGTGATTGGCTTGAAATGGGTAGCGATAGAGTTAAGATGCTGAGTTGTATACCATCACCAGCACGGTCTGTCTTATTTATACATATTCATCACAATGTCTTCTGGCACTCCTTTACGCCTGATATCTCGAAGGTTTCCTCATTTAGGGGCTAAACGCTATCGCACGATAACGGAACACTTTTTCCAGAATCTTGGGGGTCATACACCATCGCATGTTCCTTGGCCTTTAGGCAATATCCTATCAACGTGATCCCATCATGTTGTGTAACGCAGAACCAGAAGCGACCTTCTCCTTCAAGACTTCTGAATCCTTCAAAGTAACAACTCAGGTATTACAACTGCGTTCTGGAACCTCGCGGACTCCAAATACTGCGCAACGCTTTGACGATAACTTACGACCTGACATATCAAGCTATACCGCCGATGCATTGTGATTTAGACCCCAAGAGATACATGTGAGCTGAGGCCTCTAAGGCTATGTTGAGATGCAAAAGCACAAATATACGGTAGCCAAAGAGTCTAAGGCCCAATGATGACAGGGGGATAACCATGCCATGTAACCTGCCAAGACTGCCGGACCTGTCGTGGCTCTTTCCGCGGGATCTGGACTCTGGGCGTGTATTGGGGGCCTAGAAGCACTATCAGAAACAGACAGGGGGTATTCTTGGCAATAGTTGACAGTACTACTAGTAGTCGAGAGTCTTACTTCTTCAGCACTTCATATAGAGTCTAGGCCCATGGTTCATTATAGATTATTATTAATGTGGTTCATTATCAGTGAGGCGTTGTTAACGTAGCAACGTTTCTTCAGAACCATTGTATCTTCAGGCATTACATACGCCATGATACATCTCTTTGCCAAGCATAATTGATTTTCAGCTCCCTGTTACACCGCCTCATTTCACAGTGGTATGCGGAAGCGCAATGCAGGCCAGCAAATGTCGGCGATTGAAGGTACTAGCCCTTGTCTTGGAAGTCGCAATCTACGAATGAAATAGATTCGCCGAGCTCCGATATCAGACCAATCACGACATGGATTATTGACTTTAATTGGGGTGGGTTTGAAGTCTTATGAACATACAATGCAGCTAGTAGAAACATTACCTGTGTTATTCTAAGGCTTTTACTATCGCAACTAGATAAGCTTGGGGACTTGACGGCAGATATATATAATCATTGATTCTGACCAAGATAGAGACTTGACGAAGAGGTGAAATGCGGTATCCATCTATGCGGCACACACAGCAGAGGGTCATATAAGAGAGGGTTAAAAGGGCTTTAAAAAGGCAAAGTATAATAGTTCTTATCTTCTCCCCATATGAGATCAAGTTTCTGAGGCAAACACTGTTAGAACAAATTCTTGGAATGACACACCATTCTATGGATCGCAACAGCTACTATGACCTTCTATCATAATTTGCTTTTTCATGAGGCCCGCATTCGTTGGAAACTTACTCAGCCTATAGGTTCTCTCGATTATGTCTCAATCCTATGGCTCTTTATCTGATGACGTAGGATAGATAGGTTTTGTCTTGGAATCGGCTCCTTCCTGTATGGTAACTGATCTTCATAGTCAGCTCACTGCAACGCAAGGGATTAGTGAGATCATCCTTCTCGGCCAATCGCATCTCAAGCCAATCAACTGCACAGAACTAGTCACCAATGATTACTGATCCGAGACAGGGAGTGACATTGATTGCCCTTTTGGGTAAATGAAATCTTCTTGGACTATTAGATATGATGCGTTTTTGGTTAAGCGGCCTGCAGCATATCACACCTGCCTGCTTTCTGACATTTTTATAGTTACTTTTTCTGACTGTGATGATGAGCTGACCTTGCGTAATGATTGATGTCAACATAACAAGATAAGCACTTCTTGCGGAGATATAAGAGCCCAGCTTTTGGAATTTATCTCCTAATGTCAAACCTCCTCTTGCTTTATGATACAAGACCTCTACTACCAGAATGCATTTTCCTAATTATACAACGGTCGTCCTCGACTTGGGCGGCGTGCTGATTAACTACGGCGCTAAGAACACTGTCGGCTTAACCTCAACCCAAATTAAGAGTGCTCTCGACTCCCCACACTGGCATGAGTATGAGAGAGGCAAGGTTTCCAAGCAGGATGCCTATGATCAAGTCACTCAAGCATTCAACATTGATCTAGAGACTTGGACCGAGGCACTGGAGCAGATGAAAGATGGAATGCAACCTAATAGGGTGCTTATATCTGCTATCAAGGACTTGAGGACAGCTTATCCAACAGTCAAGATCTGTTGCCTATCAAATATTCCAGAACCAGAACTTGCTCTTCTCAAAGATGAGATCGAGAGCTGGGGCATCATCGACCAATTCGTCGCCTCTTCCGATCTACAGCAGAGAAAGCCCGAAATGGGAACCTATAGCGCATTTTTGGAGAAGATACAAGAATCAGCGGCAAACTGCATCTTCATCGACGACAAGGTCGGCAGCGTGGTCAACGCACAAGGCCTAGGGTTCAAAGGCATCGTTTTCAGCACTTCCGATGAGCTCATCAGAGTTCTCCACAATCTACTCGGCGACCCTGTTGCTCGCGCAAATCTTTACTTGAAGCAGAACGCAAAAAGCCTCTTCTGCACCATGAATACAGGTGGTCTTCAGCCGGACAACTTCTCTCAGCTGCTCATCTTTCATCATACAGGAGACCGGTGAGTCCTTGGGAGCAGACCTTCTCACTATTGCCTTACTTATTCTCGTTATAGAGACCTTGTTTTGCTGAAGAACGAGGGCGATACATGGAATTACTTTCATGGCAGTCCTACGTATGATGGCACGACATACCCGGATGATCCCGACACAACGTGTTTGGCATTGACGATGCTGGAAGATATTTCCATAGGACAAAAGCTCAAGGCGAGGGATGTGATGTTATCTTATGTTAACAAAGACGGTCTTCCAGAAGTAAGTGCTGATTCAGTGACGTGTCTCTTTTCAAATCTCATCCTTTTCTAGGCTTGGTTCAATAAGAACCGCCCACGATTCTGTCACTGCATCTGCGCCAATGTCTTTCGCTTCTTCACGATCAACCACTGGACTGAGAAACTCCCCAAAGTCTACGAATATCTCTGTCGCGTACTAGAGACCAGAGCGTTTCTCCACGGCAGTCGTTACTACAAAATCCCAGATTGGTTCTTATACATTCTCTCAGACCTCTGCGCCAGACGTCCATCTGACGAAAAGCTTCAGGGAATGAGAGATTTGCTTGTTGAGTGCGTCGAAGAACGCATGGGATGCGATGACAATATTCTCGGGGCTGCAATGAGAGCTTTGAGTGCTCAATCTTTGGGTTTGAAGAATGGTAGGGATCTCAAAATTTTACTGGAGAGCCAGCAGGTTGATGGTGGATGGGAGTTGGCATGGTTGTGGAGTTATGCGACTAAGCCACTAAAGATTGGAAGTAGAGGCGTTGTCACCGCTATGGCCATGGATGCGATTCAGCAGGCCATGGGCTGAGGTATGACGAAACGACGTTGTAAAGCTTATACTGTAGTGGTTGTGCTAGGCAATTCAAGTCGTATTGGAATGAAGCTGGCAAACCGGTCTTCTCACCGATTTCAAAAGACCGCTATGATTTGAGCAAATGAGGGGAAAGATGTCATGTTTGCCAAGGCCGCGATGCTGTCGTTTTTAAGTGGGGAATATTCGGGATGACATTAAACCGAGCTAACGATTGAGGGGAAAGTCAGGATCAGGTGACTAGATCTCGGAGGTCATACCGACTTCTCAATCTGAGTTATTAAACTCTCGTCAGAAAGACAAAATTCATCAGTGAAACCGTGTTTAGTCATGTTTGAAGAAAAGATCGTCGACTTCAAACCCTCACCTGGGTCAATCCCGTTAGCTGGTGCTTCGATTGTGGTGGACCAATCAGATTACCCTGGTGTTATCCGCGCCGCAGAGGACTTGGCCCGAGACTTTGCTCGTGTGACAAAGGGGGATGCAAGTCCGTTGGTTGTAATATCAACTGAATCGGATTACGACAAGATACAGACCAAAACAGCTATCATCGTTGGCAGTGTTGCTTCGAGTGGGATCATCAAGACGCTTGCACAGCAGGGTAAACTTGATACACAAGCGGTTGACGGGAAATGGGAGAAATTCAGCACGAATATCATCGACCAGCCATTGGGGAAGTGTGAGAAGGCTTTGGTTATTGCTGGGAGTGATAAGCGCGGCACCATCTTTGGCATCTACACACTCTCGGAACAAATTGGTGTCTCACCGTAAGTCATTCCAAACGAGGTCAATTCAACGAGATTCACTGATACTGAAAAGATGGTATTGGTGGGCCGACGTACCGCCAAAACACCATGAAGAACTTTACGCGACTGAGAAACAGACGGTTCATGGTGAGCCATCTGTGCGACACCGAGGTATTTTTCTGAACGATGAAGCACCTGCTTTGACAGGCTGGGTGCGAGAGAAGTTCGGAGGATACAACTCAAAGTTTTATGTCAAAGTCTTTGAACTTCTACTCAGGCTCAAGGTATACGATCTGCCTATTTGACTGCGACGCACCACTAACGACACGCAGGCCAACTTCCTCTGGCCAGCTATGTGGCCCGGCTACCCTAACCCCGGCGCATCATTCTTCACAGACGATCCACTGAACCAAAAGCTCGCAGACGAATATGGTATCGTCATATCAACTTCTCACCACGAACCCATGCAGCGGCTCTCGAATGAGTGGTTTGCCGAGAATCCAGACGGAAGCTGGAATTGGTTGACCAACAAGCAGAAAATCACGGAATTCTTTGAACATGGCGCTAGTCGCGCCAAGGGCTGTGATTCTTACTTTACTCTGGGTATCAGAGGAGAGTATGATAAGAAGATGCTTGCTGAGGATCCTGCTGCTGTGGTGCAGGATGCTATTGAGACGCAGAGGCAGGTTATTAAGAAGGTTTATGGGCAGGAAGATGGTGTGCCTCGTGAGTGTTATGCGATTACGGGTTGTGAGGTAGCTAACTGGTGCAGAACTCTTCGCTATCTACAAGGAGGTTCAGTCCATGTTTGAGACAGGTCGACTGAGCGTTCCCGATGATGTAACGCTGCTGTTTCAGGATGACAACTTTGGCACGATCCGTCGACTTCCTACAAAAGAAGAGGCCAAGAGGAAGGGCGGGGCTGGTGTAAGTTCCTCTACTTACATTTCAGCGCTCGCTGACCATCGCTTAGGTATATTACCACCTTCAATACGTCGGAGATCCTCGAAGCTATAAGTGGATCAACACAAACTCACTAGTAAGTCTCAAACCCCTCTCTCCCGATCAACTGCTAATGGGGTGCAAGGGAAAAGTATGGCATCAATTACAGCAAGCTTATCACCACAACGCTCGCCAAATCTGGGTCTTCAATGTTGGCGACTTGAAACCGCAAGAGATTCCCATCTCCTTCGCCATGGCCCTAGCTTGGGACATCAACAGTATCAAGCACGATACTCTCTCGCAGTTCTTCCGCCAAGCCGCTGATCGAGAGTTTGGCGCTGAGCTCGCAGATGACGTTGGGTCGATCTGGCACCGACATGATCGACTACTAGCTTTGAGAAAGCATGAGCATATTGAGCCTGATACTTTCTCCGTTTTGCATTACAGAGAGGCCGATAGCGTCTATCGTCAATGGAAAGAGCTTCTCGACGATGCTGAAAACCTGCAAGCCCGTGTTTCTGAAGAACAAAAAGCAGCGTCTTTCCAGCTCGTTCTTCATCCAACCAAAGCGTCATATATCTATAACAAAGTACGTTGGAGTCAAGCTCTAAACAAGCTGTATGCTCGCCAAAGACGAAACTCGGCAAACACATACGCCCAAATCGCTCTGGACGCCTTTGACCAAGACTTTACTCTTTCGGAAGAGTATCACAGCCTTTTGGACGGAAAGTGGAACCACATCCTGATGCAGCCTCATTACGGCTACGAAGATACATGGCATGCTCCCTCGCGAGATATGATTGGTGGATTATGCTTTGTTCAGAAACGTCAGAACTCCAATCCAATTGTGGGACAGATGGGTGTTGCTGTCGAAGGCCATGAGGGTGTGAGGCCCGGTCGGATTAACGAAGAGTCTGAGCGAACGCATCCTAGTCGACGAGATCTTGTTCCTGGTTTGACTTTACGGCCTATGAGTCGGTATGGACCTGAGGCTCGATACTTTGATATCTTCACCCGGGGAGTACCGAATATTAACTGGTCTGTTTCAGCGCTTCAGCCCTGGATCAAGCTGTCGAAGGCCTCCGGGATCTTGGTACCCGGTGAAGATGATGCCCGGGTTGAGATCTCGATTGACTGGGATCAGGTTCCTGATGATTTCAAAGAGGAAGTACTCATCGACGTTCGGTCGGAGGAAGGAGATTTTGAACAGGTTCATTTGCCGATCAATGGCAGACGAGTGCCAGACTCTTTCGGGGGCTTCGTTGAGCAGGACAGTTTTGTGTCTATCCCTGCCACCGATTGTCACCTCGAGGCTCCGTACCTGGTTCTGCCCGATGCTGGCAGACTGGCAACTGGCTCTTTGACTCTCGTCCCAGGTACCGATAGCGACGGTTCGATACCCTTCATTCACTATCCTTTCTACCTCTTCAGTGAGACTTCCAACGCTACTTTAGTTCTTTACTTCGGCACGACTCTGGATCTTTCCTCTGACGATATGCTGGCCTACGACGTCGGAATCGACGAGGAACAAAGCCAAAGCTATCCTCTGCAGAAGAGAACTCCAGAGAGTGAGAAGAATGCTGCTGATAAGGGATGGGCGTCTGCCGATGGCTGGTTCTTTGCTGCGTCGGATAACGTTTGGGTCCGAGAGCATGCGGTTACGTTGGGACCTGGTGCACATTCACTACATATCAAGTTGAGACATGCAAATATGTTGCTTGAGAAGATTGTGGTTGATTGTGGAGGTGTAGCAAAGAGCTACTTAGGCCCTCCCTTTGGCATCAAAGCTTGAGGCTTACGAAGATAATCATCAACGCATGTCACAAGTCGGATAATTACAATGAATTACAATGCCATTGTATTGTTCACGGTGATGGCTTTTAAAAAGGTTTAGTCTATGAGTGAATGTATATGCAGATGTATATGCAGATGAGTCTCCAGCGCCTGTTTCCCATGTTCAAAAAAAATAGATACTTGAAATCAGATACGCTCCATTTAGCAAGTCAGGCTGAACTTGAGCTTGCGGTCCTTGTTCGCAATACCGAAGTACTTCTCAACCTCAGGGGTAGCTAGAGGCGCGTCGAAAGCAGTGAACCAGAAACCACTAGCATCCTTCTGCTGCCACAGCCAGCATCCAACATTGTTGTAGTAGCTCTGCAGGCTAGCGGTAGTAGCAGCGGCCTTCTGGTAGTTAGGTCCCTTAGTAGGCCATCCCGTCTCTCCAACCCAGACAGCAGCCTTGGAGTTAACAGCCTTGACGTGCTTCTGAACATTCCAGTACGAGTTCTGGAAGGTCTTCAAGCGCAGAGCATCCTTGATGGGAACGCCCTGCCAGTAGGGAAAGCCGTTGGTGATGGCAATATCGCACGCCTTGGTGACCACGTCGTTGCGGCCGTCGACCCACGCAGTCCAGGTGTCGGTGTGGCCGACCTTGAGGTTCTTGTTGAACTGGCGCACCATGCCGCGCACGTCGTAGATCTGCTGGGCCAGCTTGTCGGGGGAAATGTCCTTGCGGTACAAGTCCTCGGAACCGACGGAAATAGCGGCGATCCAGTCGGTGCCGTACTGCTTGATGACCTTGAGAAGAGCGGCCTTGTCACGGCCGAAGTGAGCATCGTCGGTGGCCCAGACGCCAACAAGGATCTTCATGCCGGTCTGCTTGGCGGCGGGGACAGCCTTGACCAATGCTGAAAACCGTCAGTATGAGCCGATCTTATAGTATACAGGGGGTTAACTCACTGTTGCAGTCATCGGCGGAGTAGAGGCGCACGGCGTTGAAACCCTTGTTCCAGCTCTTGATAGTCTGGAAATCCTTCTTCCAGTCCGCAGTGTACTTGCAAAGCCCATCAGCCCTGTTGGCACCCATACTGAAACCCTTGTACTGCCCAGCCAAAGCCTGACCGGGGAGGAGCATCAAAGCCGCCGCAAGGGCGCCAATAGATCCGAAAAGCTTCATATTGAAAAAAAGATAATTGAACGAAAGTGATGAATAAGCGAGTGACGGGTATAAACAGCCAAGAAATGGACAAGAAAAAAAGTTGGGGGAAGGACGTCTGTTTATTTAAATTAAACGACCCCCTTTTCCTTGCAGGGGGCAGACTGGTTTTTTGCCGCTGAATCCTCGTATTGATCCATGTTGGGTGAGGCGTTCTAGACCAATTCTTCGTAAGCGTGATGCTATTTTTGTAGATGCGCCGGTAATTCCGTGGCGCTAGGGACGGGTTTTATGGGGATGGGAGAGGTTCCAGTCATTTTAAAGATCAGATGAACATTAATGCTTGATTTGGGTTTTGCATGAATTCATGTCGTTTACGTCATTGCCGAGATGGGAGGGTTAGAGATCTGATGACATGGGGTGAATCGCTATGCCGTTATCACGCGTTGAGTGGTTTTGCTGGTGACGTGACGGGTCAGGAGAATTATCTTATCAGTTTATCTTATCGGATCAACACTTTTATCGCTCATCGGCCCATACCCTAAACCTCTATTGCCTAACGTCCGTCACCCAAAGACTGGCCACCCCCACAGACCGGCCACCCCGACCAAAACACCAAGAACCGGATATCA